GTGTATTCTGAACCACGTCACTTGGTGTATATTTTATTTTGATATTGGTTTATTTGAACTTACTATTGCTGTATTTTTGGTGTATTTTACCTTAGATTCATGTTGTTGAATGTAGTGCATATTTCAATAAGTAATGGTGTATTCTGAACTACGTCACTTGAATACAGTAAACAATATTGGTGTGTCTTTTATTTTGATATTGGTGTATTTTAACTTACTGTTGCTGTATTTTTGGTGTATTTTACCTTGGATTCATGTTGTTGAATGTAGTGCATATTTCAATAAGTAATGGTGTATTCTGAACTACGTCACTTGAATATAGTAAACAACATTGATGTGTGTTTTATTTTGATATTGGTGTATTTTAACTTACTGTTGCTGTATTTTTGGTGTATTTTACCTTGCATTCATGTTGTTGAATGTAGTGCATATCTTAATAAGTAATGGTGTATTCTGAACTACGTAACTTGAATACAATAAACAACATTGGTGTGCGTTTTATTTTAACTTACTGTTGCTATATTTTGGGTGTATTTTACCTTGCATTCATGTTGTTGGATGTAGTGCATTTTTATTCTGTATTGGTGTATTTTCAACATTGAACTTATATCATGCAGACACCAAGAGGAAGGCATTGAAACAAGAAGAACCCCCAACAGCAAAACATATACGGAAGAAACAAGCCCTGTCATTCCTTGATAAAATACAGATAGAGCTACAAAGTGAGGATACAGAGCAGCAAAATCAAGTTGAGTCCAGCTCAAGCGATGAGGCAGACATACTGGAGAATGAAGACAAGGAAACTGGCCTAAAGATAAGACCCCTTCCCACACAATTAACGAACCCAATTGCCGCACTAACTGATCAGCAACGCAAATACGTAGAGGACATTGGGCTAGGAAGAATTCTTGACCTGAATATTACCAATGTGCCACGAAAGTTGGGCTGTGGCTAGTTTAACACTATGATGCTAGGACCAACACATTGAACCTACCCACTGGTGAACGACTCCACATCACAGAAAAAGGATGTTGCTGCCACATTGGGGCTGCCGATTGGAGGCATAGAAATCGTGAAGAGGGCATCCAAAGAGGTATCCAAACTCTTGACTGACTGGAGAACAATCTTTGGAAAGGATAACGGCCAAATCACCCCCACGTTATGTCTGATAAGATGTTGACACTAAAGGCTACTGACCCTTGGTTCAAAAGGCACTTTGCACTGCTTGTTATGAGTGTATTGGTTGAGCCCCAAGTCAATGGTTATGTCAACCAAAGCTACATTGACAACCTTCATAATGTTGACAACATCAAGAAGCTAAATTGGTGTAGAATGCTCATCAACTCACTCATCACCAGCAAGCAGGCATGGCTGGACAGTGTTGATGGGAGATATGGAGGACCAATTATTTTCCTGATGGTAAATAGACTACCAGAAAGATGCATCTAATTTATTACCCACTGATTGATTAATAATCTAAAATGCAAAATGCAGATATTCTATGTTGACCGTGTGGTGCTCTACCGGAGGACAGTCCCAAGAAGCTTCCCTGCCACGAAGAGCTGGACATTTAAGCTACTCCGTCAACGAGAACAAGATGAGATAAAATCCGGAGGCTTTGGATATGGCCGTCTTGAAGATGCCTTGCCATTGGACAGCACACCATGCAATGAAGGAAGCCCCCCCAGTAAGACGTTATGATGTTCCACCCCAACCACTGACTATTGAAAATAATGCACCACTTCCCACTGCATTACAGGTAAACAGACCACTTGAAGCATATTCATGGTGTACTCCTTATATCTCTTTTACTGTTTTTATATCTATAAACTGTTGTGCATCTTACAATGGGCTACCTTAATCAGTTTGTGTGATTAAATAAGATACCCTAATGGTGTGCTTTTTAGAAGTATTTAGTGCATATTTCGATATACATTGGTGTGTTTATATTATATCCTTCTGGTGCATAAACAGGAGTTTGTTGATGAGATTACTAACAACACGTATAAGGACAATTGCAACAAGTTTACTGAGAATATCAAGACTGATTGAAAATGCCCCTGCAGCAATTTTGGAAAATGATACATTCAAGCAAATATTTGAGTCTGCTAGACAGATGCTAGGATTCAAAGCATAAGAAGATGGACAATTGACATTTACCCAAGGAGAAGACGCCTACTAAAGTGACCCTGAGTTTCTGAAAGCAGTTGATGAAATTGTACGTGCAGTAAACAAGAGGAATTTCCTAAATGATATACCCTCTTTCAGCCTAGGATTGTCACAAGATGAACCAAACAGAGGCTGGATAGATGTGAGTGATATTGCACGTGACTACCAGGATGTTAACGAAGCTGATGAACCTGCCAAAGTTCAGTTGGGTGTGGATGAGGATCAAGCAGCAGACAGAGCTCAAGAATGCACTGTGACAGATCAACAAGCACCTCTATCTGACCAAAATCAACAGGCTCTGCATGAGACTCGGGCAGATGACACCAATAATGAGGTAATGAACTATAATAAATCCAACATCACAAATAACAAAAAGAAAAAAACAAAACAAAACAAAAGAAAGTAACACACTATAAAAACTGATACTCTCAACTTTGAATGTTATAGATCACACCAGAATGGCAAGGGCAGCCAACCCCTACGTCAAAACCCCCCTCCCCCCCCCCACCCCCACCCCAACCAACAGACAAAGGAAAAGGCCCAGCTAGAGTGCATAGCCCAATTGGACGAAGACCCATCTCATACATGCTTGACATTGACACACCATTATCTGCAATAGAGGATGCTATCAGGCAGCGGGTATTGGAAAACCCTAACCCAGATCTGTAAGCACAACACACTCTAAAAAAGATGGTGTGCTGTTTATATATATTTGGTGCATTATATAGTGATGTTGGTGAATAAATATCCTATGTACATTGATGTGTTATTCAATGTGATATTAGTGTATAATATGTTAAATGTTGGTGTGTTTATACTAAATGATTTGGTGACTGGTTGTGTTTTGTACCTAACATATTTCTTTGGTTTCAATAGGACCCAAGAACTATTCAAGTATGAAGGAAGGGTAATTTACTAGAAAGATATGCTGTCAATGAGGCCAGATGCAGAGATCCCAGTCTCTATAATTGATGCTTGGTCAGCCATAATCCACATTCGTGAGTCAGAAAGAGGATGTACAAAGTCCATTGCTTCATTGTGGACAACTGTGAGTGGAAAATATAAACATAGCTTCAACTTTAACAAGCTTAAAGTTCTAACAAAAATACCATTACAATTTGCAGCTGTACACAGTTGTGGACCCACAAGGAGATGAGGATGTTAGATTTGCAAGATTTAGATCAAAGTACCTCGAAGACAAATCCATTGCAAGCGACGTTAGGTGGAACAGCATTCTATACATAAGATATTAATATACATATTAAGTGCTTTATATTTTCATACTAGTTGAATTTTGACTTTAGACATTTGGTGCATTCTATTATTTAGCTATTTGTGGTGCATTACTAACCATCCTTAGATTCATACTAACACCCCTAAAACATATCTTTTAGCTATAACAATTTTTGTTTCCAATTGTGTCATCCAACCACTACTACCTGTTTTCCATTAGCCCAATAATGGAAAGATTTGACATTATTGACAACTCTCCTGTCAATGTAAAGAAAGACAACAAGTATGGGACTGTGCTTGCAAATATGGTAACACATTAAGCCCTGATTGATTACATATATTCAATGCAAAACTACAACAAAAATACTCAGATTTGTATTACTTGATGCAGCAAAAGTTCTTATCAAGGTTCTTGACTGACATAAAATCCTCATACAAGGCTGAGAAAGTGAATAAGGTGAAATCTAAGATAATAAAAATGCCTTGGAGAGATGCACACAATAAGGTGGATTGTGGCATCTTTCTCATGCGCCATTTGGAGACTTTCCGAGGGCAAACACATGAGCAATGGCAGTGTGGACTTCAGAAGAACAACAAAGAGCAGTTGAATAAGCTACGACTGCAATACATGGCTGCCCTAATCATGTTAGACTTAAATAAACACAAACAGAGGAACATTCAGCAAGCAGCAGAGTTCCGGGTTTGAGCAGAAAGTTAATGTGGAAGAAAGACAATGTGAATGGCTGACTTGACAGGATTTTTTGTGGTTTGTGATGACTAGTAATCATTTTTGTGATGTCGGACAGATAATGTGACCTCTTTATATTTGCTTTTTGAGCTATAACAATGCACCCTATGAATAGTAAAACGCACCATGATCTATTATAAAATGCACAAATATTTCTATATTATAAAACGTCTACACACCTGTAAAATACACCAACCACACAAATAAAACACAAATCAATGTTATTTATTATATTCAAGTGACATAATTCAGAATACACCATTCTGAATGAAATATACACTATATTCAACACCATGAATGCAGGGTGAAATACACTAAAAATACAACAACACTTGGTAAAAAAAAAAAAAAACGTAATATAACGCACCACGATGTGTGTGAAAACGCACCATTATCTATTATAAAATGCACAAGTCCAAACATATTTCAAAATCCTGATTCTCTGTTACGAAACGTCTACATACCTGTAAAATACACCAATCACACAAATAAAAAACAAAACAATGTTATTTACTGTATTCAAGTGACGTAATTCAAAATACACAATTTCTGAATGAAATATACACTATATTCAAGACCATGAATGCAAGGTGAAATACACTAAAAATACAGCAATAGTATGTAAAAATACACCACGATGTGTGTCGAAATGCATCGTGATTTATTATAAAACGCACAAATCCAACAATGTCTTAAAAATCCTGATTCTATGTGTTATAAAACGTCTACAGAACTGTAAAAACATCAAATTCCACAATACAGACCAACTAAGAAAACAAACACAACTCTAGCCATTTAATGGGCACGTCCTACTATTATGACCATATTCATCACAAGTATGACATTTCCTTTATTGCTTTACACACTTATTCGCAGTTTTCTCCCTTGCACTCTTCATCCGCTTCCCGCTGCCCTTGTTCTTAGCTTTAATTGGATCACGCACCTCCACTGTTGGCCCCTGAGACACATAACCACAAAATGATTTTATCACACTTTCCTTGCTGCTACCAGCCACCCCATTGTCATCCCCACACCTATCTTTGAGAAAAAAACTGCCTTTGCTCACAAATAACACGTCTTAGTTGTTCCAACCATTCTACATTACCATCAGCCAATCCCACGCAAGCATATATTTCAGACCATATTAGATTAGTAAGCACCCTAACATTATCCACTTTAGCCGATTGATCAACAACTGTATCATCAATATCAAATATTGGCTTCAAACAAGCACCCTTTGTCCACCGAGACACCAAATACATAGAAGGAATTCTCTCAAGTCCACGATCTTTAAACACAAAAAAAAAAAAAAATTAAAAAAAAAATGCCTACACACTAACCCCATCCGCTCAAACATCTTGCCTGAACAAGTAGCAGTAGAGTCAGCCAACAAAAACTCCACACACCATGCCTTCTTGTCACCATCTTTTATCCCATAACACACCTTACCATCACAATCACACAAAGACACCACTCGACAAGAAAAAAAACCTTCACAAATCTCTACTTGCACATCATAAAATACAGAAATAGTATAAACATCCATTGCATGCTTCTCCAACGCCAATGGAGTCTTCAAAACAGGAAAACAAGATTTAGAGTCAGCAGTCAATTTTGCTTGTGCATGTCGTTGTGCACTAATAGCACTATCAAAATGCACCAAAAACTCAACCAAACTGGAATGACCATTAGAGAAACTGCCAAAAAAAAAAACTATTTTGAGACTCTCATCGAGACGTTGTCCTAACAAATCCTGACATAAACTCATCATGAAAGTATGGAGATGCCCAAAATGTACGAGACTCAAACAAGTAACGAAACCAACCATTATCAACCAAACCATATTCCTCCATAATACGACTCCATGAATCCTCAAAAGCTTTGGAATCTATAGATTTGTTCCAAACAATGTCATTCAACTTCCTCCTAAACACCTCGTCCTTAGCTAAAACCGGTCCAACCTTCTCACCAACCCTTGCACATTATATGCCACATGCAGACTCTATGTTTTGATGTACCAAACACACGAGCAATTGCAATCTTGACAGCTGGATCTTGGTCAGTAACAACACAAATAGGTTCATGACGCATGGTTGTCTTAAATCTCTCCAAAGCCACACATATGAGTTTACGTCTTCCCTCGTAAGTAACCCAGCACCAAATGTGATGGATCTCTTATAGTTATCGATTCCAGTAAATGGAACAACACCAAATTATACCTACAGAATGCACAACATAGTAACTACTGAATACCCTAAGTATAACAAAAACACACTATATGACATCGAAATATGCACCAGAATATTATACAGAATACACATTGACTATAAATTACTAACCTGTTAGAGCGGTATGTAGCATCGAATAAAACATCACCAAACAATGCAAAATTCTTCCTCGATACTGCATCTGCCCAAAAAACCATTCTAAGCTGATCAACGTCATCAACGTCATATTCAAACTCAAAAGCCTCGCACAACTCACGCCTTTTAAAAAGCGTATCTATGAATAGTTGAGCATCACCATTCAATATGTATGCCATCAAATCACACTTGAAATTCTTAAAATCCACCCCAGTAGCACCAACATTGGAATACTCATCAACAATCTCCCTAAACAGCTTATACGACCGAACATAACCAATATTTTCCCGAACACAACTTGCAATGAACATTTGGTGGCCAGCATCAAGACTACGATTCACCTTTAAAAATTACTTAGCAATGATTGAACACATCACATGAGTGTGTCATTCTTCCAAAAAATGCACAACATACAATCCATTAGACTTAAGTTTAAACACTACCTTAGCCTTGCACCCAACCCTATTTGTCACCCTCCGTCTCTTCACAACAATGGGTTTACCATCACCAACACACGTAGATTGCATACTATAAATACTCTGCTTAAACCCCTTTCGACTACAAAATACCTGTCTCTCCACAACAACATCATCCCTCCTCTTCCGAATTGTACCCTGCCTATAATCAAAACCAACAGACCCAGCATACTATTTATAAAAAACAATAGCACCATCCAAGGAATCAAACGTTTGCCCAACAACAGGCTTCAAACTATCAGTGCAAACTGGATGACAATACTTAGTCAACCCAGGAGAAATTTCCAAATCACATGCATTGTCTTTTACCCCAACATCGGTCGAACAGTGTTCATTGGAGCCCTCACCACTAGCCCCTACAGCAACATCGGTTGAATTACCTTCATCACACTGACCACCACTTCCTTCTACACAACCATCAATATGATCACCTTCATAACAAACACCACCAATGCGATCTACCCCACCGCATCAGTGGAATGCTCTGTATTGCAGACACCAACACTGCCTTCTACACCAACATCAATGATTGTATCTTTATCAAAATCGAAACCCACAGAGTCTAAATTAGCTGCACACCACATATATATAATAACGCACTAAATAACCCATGCATAACATCTGATAACTACAAAACACACACAATACTATACTAACTTAATATCCACCACGATCATGCAAATTTCGCACTATAATCACACAATAACACACAACACCATCACAACAACAGAGACTTATCTCACCCCCCCCCCCCCCCCCCCCCCAGAAAAATATCAATCCAGATAAAAAACGATATAAAAACATCCATGACATAACAAACGCATATTATTATGAACAAATTAAAACTACAAACATCAATAAATCAACACATACCATGATCACCTTCATCACAAACACCACCACTGCGATCTACCCTACCATCAGTGGAATGCTCTGTATTACAGACACCACCACTGCCTTCTACACCAACATCAATGGACGTATCTTTATCAAAAATGAAACCCACAGAGTCCAAATTAACAGCTGCACACCAAATATATATAATAACGCACTAAATAACTCATGCATAACATCTTATAACTACAAAACACACACAATACTATACTAACTTAATATGCACCACAATCATGCAAATTTCGCACTATAATCACACAATAACACACAACACCATAACAACAACAGAGACTTATCTCACCCCCCAGAAAAATATCAATCGAGATAAAAAACGATATAAAAACATCCATGACATAACAAACGCATATTATTATGAACAAATTAAAACTACAAACATCAATAAATCAACACATACCATGCTCCATCGCTCAACTCTAAAAAAATCCCTTATTGCGATATCTCAAATTGCACGGTATACTCAAATTGCACTGTCGACTGATCTCTGACGACCTTCTCCCATTTGCGATGCGATCGCGATCTTGATCTTCTCTTCTCCAAGTTGCCGATTCCCTCTGAGCTGAAACATATAGAATACAAATCACCTTATATACATTCATGTAACCAGCTAAATAAAATTACATAACTACCCCCACTTACCAAATCGCGAACAATTCTTCCTTATTTAAAAAAAAATAAGCCTCTGCCGTTAAATTGCCTTGATCCAATGGTTCAAATATAACCACACTGCCACACCTAACTACACTAACACCTTTGAGCGTTATTATATATATATATATATATATATATATATATATATATATATATATAATGATTTACATAATTATAGCAAGTTTATGTTAATAATTATCTAAAAGTAACTGCAAATATCAATTTGGCAGTTGTTATTACCATCAATAAGAATTAATGGTAACATATTATTTTCTAAAATATAAAAACATAATATGTGCCATTACAAGTTATGTCCTTGATTTTTGTCCATTTTTTATATGCTAATAAATATATACATTTTGCTTTAATTGTTGTACATTTCACTTATATTGGACAAAATTATAATTACACCGTTATAACATTGTTAGTATTTAATATATCCACCAATCTTACCATACACCTACATCTATCATATCTTTTTCTTATTTTTAATTATCATTTTATTAAAATTATCATATAACAATTAATTTAATTATAAATTATATTTTAATTAAATATATGTATGAATGTTAAATTATATATATATATATATATATATATATATATATATATATATATATATATATATACATATATATATATATATATATATATATATATATATATATATTGTTTTGATCACTATATTATTCAAATATATGATAATTCAAAAGTATCATTACTTTAAGGAATTGCGATACATAATTTTAACTGATTTTTTTAAATTTTGTTACTTAACAATATTTTAATATAGGGCATAAATTTTCGCGCATCGCGCATACAAAATGCTAGTACTATAATATAAGGCAATGGATCATCATGCATCACATTAAGTAAAGGAGGAATATACGTAGGGTGACAACAATTGGAATTCTGTGTACTAAGCAAAGAAAAGAATGATATAAAATAAACGAAGATATCAGTATATAATTGTTCTCATATGAGAGTGGTTCCGTTGCAGTGTACAAAAAGATTTTCCAGTCTATCAATAAGAACATTAGGTTGAAGGCCAGTCTATGTGACACTCAGCAAAGATGCGCCAAAGCTCCTTATCTACAGAGCACCTCTTCCTTCTTATGTATTTAAACTAGTATTTTTTTTATGCGCGATGCGCAAAATATAAGTGTCCAATATTAATACTTTATATTAACATTTTAAATTATTTACATTTTAGATATTTAAATTATTGTAAATAATAATAATAATAATAATAATGTAAAGCATTTTTATAAATTTGATATTTATATTTTAAGAAATAACTAACATATAACTCCAATATATAATGTGTTTATTAATAATAATAATAATAATAATCTTACATATAATAAAGCTATATGATTTGGGAAATAATTAATGTTACAATTAATTACCAACATTATTATTATTACTAGTTATAAATATAAAATAGCCACAACATCTTTTACTATTAAAAAAAAAAAAAAGCACAACATTTGAATTTTTTTTTTTTGAAAAATAAAATAGTTTTTTTTTTCGCCCATGGATTACATTTATTGAATTAATGGGGTTATTAAATGTTATGATATTAGGATTAAGGATTCCAATTCCCGATTAATAGAAAATATGAAACGATGCAATATTAATTAAATATCTGGCTTTACAATGAAAGTCTATTTGATATGCTTTTGTTATTTATGGTGGTTCTTGGGATTACAGTATTAATTAAATTTTCAATGAAAGCCTATTCGATATCTGAAACAGTGCAATTAATGCAAACCTCTACATATAATTTTTCTCCCTCTCAAAGGCTTCAAAGAAATGGTAGAAGCAAGAAGGGATGAAGAAAGCAAATGTTGCGGGCCGTGGGTCAATTATTAGACTTCAGAATAAAAAAAAAAATCATTTAAGCCATAAATAAAAATTTAAATATATATAAATGTATATATCGTATGAGTCTTTAATGTTTTTCAGGATGTCTAAACTTAAGACTTTTAAAAGAAAAAAAATACATTTGAATTATCTCCACAAAAAGTGGTCTTGGACTTATAAAATGACATTTGGGTTTATGGAAAGATATGTGCATAAAGAATATATTATATAATCATATAAAAAAATGTGTTCAATTAGAGTTTAAATTTACTCATACAAAATTTGAAATTTGCTTTCAAAATGTAATTATCTTAGTTATTATTCGTATTGTGAAAATTATAATATAGATGAAATACAATTAAGAATAAATCAATATAATTATGTAAATTCACTCTATAAGTTTATTTAAATATGTACATAATTAGAGATTATATTAACCATACAAAATTTTAATTGTAATTTTGTATTCTATAAAAATAATAAATACTTGAACAATGGAAGCTCAAAAATATTATTATATTAAACAATTTAATTTTTTTTGTTTTTTCTATTTTTTTAATTTATATTTATAATAACATAATTTTTTCTCGTGCATCGCGCGGGTGAATTACTAGTAATAATAATAATAATAATAATAATAATAATAATAATAATAATAATAATAATAATAATAATAATAATAATAATATTATTATTATTATTATTATTATTATTATTATTATTATTATTATTATTATTATTATTATTATTATTATTATTATTATTATTATTATTGAAGATAAGAAAATATATGGTGGATGCATGTGCATAGTAACAATAGTAGAAAAGATAACGGAAGTTATAATGGTAGGGGTATGTTTGTCCAAAATATTGTAAAGTACAACTTAACATAACGTATAAAAAAACTTAACGGTAAAAACAGCCATAAATGAAGGGTATAACCTTCATTAACACTTATTATGTTTTTAGATTATTTTTTGCCTCATGGTACTCTTTTAACGTCAAGAAACATTTAGGCAATAGGCATTTACTCGGCATTAATACTAATACCAATCACCTTTAATAGCCATAATAATATTCTTAAAAAATGGTAATAATAATTGTCAATTTAATGGTAATGGTAATAAGTTAATAACCTCCAAATTGATAAGGAAATGCCAAATAATATGATTATGATTTGTATATAAATTGCTACTCAATTAAGGGGGCCCTATATAGTTTCTTTTTCTTTTACCTCAAGAATAAGAATGGAGTCAGATCAATGTGCTCCCTCGACGGTGGAAAGCGTTGATGATAACTTTATGATGCTTCAAGGACGATCACGCACTGGCTAGGTTTAGCATTCCACCATAGTGACTAGAATTTGTTATTGTTACCCGCACAGAGAATTAAGTTGGTTCTAAAGTAGTTAGTTGTGAACCAATACACATGATCGAGCTCTATTAGTCACAGTGTGGAATTACACTAATGTAGTGTGACACCAAACACTGATTTTCTCACATAATAGACCGTTGAGTCACCGTGATTTGTCTCTCTATTATATTGTTGGACCGGGTATGAAGTTTTGGGGCCACACTTGTATTAAACTAATTTTATAACTAATATTTATGATTCACAAATAAATTAAATAATAGTTATGTTTTCACATAACTCTACCTCAATTTATCCAAAAATTAAATCTACTCCAAAGAATGCCGTGAGATGAAGATCCACGTAAATTAAAACTGTCGGAAACTGTTGAAGTGTTGTTTACGATAAGATGATAATGATCATCAATGCTAACGCATTAGCTGGTTTGCCCGAGAGGTTAAGGGGAAGACTTAAGATCTTCTGCACATAAGTGCGCGTGGGTACGAACCCCACAGCCAGCACTCTTGTCTTTAAAAGATGTCCATTATTGTTGTTGTGATCTGTGAAGTGGAGTGAAAATATTTAATGATTATTAACAGCTTGATAATTTAGTAATTACAGAAATTCATGGGTAGTTTATGGATTTGTTTAGATTTCGTTGCAAGCTTTGCATTATCTTAGAGCAGTGATGCAGATTGCAGCAGAGTTGTTCATCTGATGTAATGGTTCAAACTCTTTTGCCTATGCAGTTCAGAAAAATAAACAAATTTTTTGACTGAGTGCTTATTTATTTAAGTTGGAGCTTATTGAAATTTGAAGTGGATGGTTTTCTGAAAAGACTCAAATGTGAAACTTCTTGAAAACGCGATTTTTGCCTATTGTTTGGATTTAAAGGATTTTTTTTGTTAAAAAATATCATTATTTAGCCTAACACATCTATTTTTAGGGTAAATAAGTTCTAATTAACTTTGAGCGAAACAAACGTAGATCTGTGTCTTTATCATACTGGTTTAACCATTAGCCTGTAAAAGTAGTAAGGTTTGATGTTCCACATAATCTTTCTTTTTTAATTCTAACAAGAGATATATCAAAAAGAAAAAGTAATTAACATGAAGACATGCCCATATGACAGGTTAGAAAGGTAGGGAAGGTTGCAAGAGCAATTGCGGTAATGAACCATCCAATTCCAAATACCAATGATTCTCACTTAGGGTGTGTTTGGAAACCCAGAAAATGACTTCTGGAAGTCATTTTCCGGGTTTTTGGTGTTTGGCTACATTGGAAAATGACTGGTCAAAGGAAAATGAGGAGAAGTCAATGGAAAAGGAAGGCAATTTTCTAGAAAATGACTTCCCCTTTTTTTTGGGGGAAGTCATTTTCCTTCCATTCACGCAGACTTCTTTTCTTCCCGTTTTCAACAGAGCTCTGCCTCCTCTTCAACATTTGCAATACAACTCACCAACACTTCCTCCTCCATCAATCCATAATCACAAAAGCTTCAACAACACTAGAAAAGCTATTGAGATATATCTCATCTCTA